AGAAAAACAGATCCTGTGAATGAGGGTTTCAGGTGTGGCCCTGGTCCTGCGGGGACTTCCTTCTGTTGGCGCCAGAAGACAGAACTTTCTGGAGGCAGGAAGGACTTCTTGGAGAGATGAAGTCCCTTTTCCTGGGGTGGGGGCGCCTCAGGAAACATCGTGGTGGCTGCTGGGCAGGGTGTTAGGGGTACAGTACTAGGACTGGGGACCCAGCTCTGAGGGATCTACTCTGGTTAGTTCGTGGTGGTGTCAGGAGGGATCTGGCCCTTGGTCACCTGCTGTTGGAGTCCATGTTATCCAAGGGGGTTAGTGACCCCACCTCTGTCATTGTCACCTTCTGACCCGTGCCCTTGCCTCACTTCAGCCCTGCCTGCATCACCGCCACCCGAGTTCACTTCTGGGATGTAGGCCTAAGTGTGGTAGGGGGAGAAGAACCTGAGGAGACCGGGAGACTTTGATCCTTCCCCTGGACAAGGGGGCTCAGTCACTTTCCCCATCCATCAATGTCCTCCTGGACATGGCCCAGGTGTCAGCTGTGCTTGAGGTGGTGGTGGGCACAGGTGGCAGCCCCTGCCCTCCAGAATGCCACAGGCAGCCCAGATGCCCATCCAGCATCCTCTCTGGGGTGGCCAGACATGAGGGCTGCCCATTCCCTTCCCACAGTCTTGGTGGCCACATAAGCAGAAGTTGGAAACGCCGTCTAGCTGCCCAGCTTTGACTGGCTTGGCTGAGGGAGTTCTCCCCTCTGTCCTGTCACAGATCTCCCCCACCCCCCAGGTCCCCTGGTTGTCCCATCCTACAGTGCACTACTCCTCTCTCACAGGCAGGACAGCACTCACTCCTATTTGAGGTCCATCATAGAGCTCCTGGTACAATGTCCACTCCCTGAGGGCAGGGACTTTATCTGGTGTGGTTCCTGCTGTGTTCCCAGTACCCAGTACGTGCCAAATAAATGTCTGGCAAGTAAATGAGGGAATGAATGGTGCAGCCCTGACACCTAGAGAACCATGGGGATCAGCGTCTCTGACCTACATGTTACGGGAGGGGAATTGAGAGGCCCTGAGGTAAAGGTCAGCCCACATACTTGCAGATAAGGACAGAGCCAGGGTACACTGGGGTCTGGTGACATCCAGTCCAGCCCTCCCAGCCTGCTTGCCCTGCCTGATGGGGACACTGCCCAGGGTGTCCGCGCCCCCTGGCGGCTGAGGAGCAGGCTGGGCCACCGGCAGCCGCTGGTGACACACAGATGACAGAGTGGGAGATTTACTTCCGGTTCACGTTACTTCTGAGCAGTTTGTACTTAACCCTTTAGGGGAGCGTTTGTGTTCAGAACCCTGCAGTAGCAGGACATCCTCCAAGGGCCACAGAGACACTCGCTCTGGGCGGAGCATGCCTAACTGCAGATGGAGCCTGAACTCCAAGCTGCACGGACACATGATGCTCAGAATTGTGGTTAGAAACAACACGCAAAGCAAAACAAACACATGTTGACAAAGTGGTCTTCTTCTAAGGATCCGCCTTAGAGAGCTTTTCTGCATACACAACAGGGATAGGACGAACGAGTGCTGATCTCTCCCACAAACTCCTAATTTAGGGTAAGAATGTTGTGATTTTTAAAATGACATTTGTTGGACTTCCCTGGTGGTGCAGTGGTTAAGAATCCTCCTGTCGATGCAGGGGACACGGGTTCGGGCCCTGACCCAGGAAGATCCCACATGCCGCGGAGCAACTAAGCCCGTGAGCCACAACTACTGAGCCTGCACTCTACAGCCTGCGCACCACAACGAAGAGCAGCCCCCGCTCGCTTCAACTAGAGAAAGCCTGCGTGCAGCAACGAAGACCCAACGCAGCCAAAAATAAATATATAAATTAATTTAAAAACATCAAGCCCCCAATAAAAAAAAAAAGACATTTGTTGTAGCAGCCATAATGCATTGAGAGTATCATATTTTTCACAAAGGGACTGTAATAGTCCCTTTATTTTCGAGTCCTTGAAAAAAGTATCAAAAAATATCCCTTGAAAAAAGTATCAAAAAATATCAAAGTGCTAAGAAAATCAAATTCACATAGAAACAAATCGTTTCCTTTTTTTCCCCAACGAACTGCATTGTAATCTCACCAAGTGAGCATGAATTTGTGGTAAAATACTTTTTAAATTGTCAGCAATCCCCCCTTCCCCTCTCAGACCCTCTGAGGACCAGTAGAGAGGGCGGTGGGGAGTGGAGAGGGTTGGGGGGGAGGGGCCTCCTTTGACCTGGGGTCAGCCTCCACTGGGCACCTCTGAGCTGACTGGGATTTTATTAGGGGAAGAAGCCACCGTGGTTCAAATGGAAGAAGCGATGCAAGGTGCTGCACAGACTAAACATGGCAGGAATCTCCCTGAATAGCTTTCTTTGTGGGGAATTGTAAACCCAAAGAGCTCAAGGAAGCCAAGGGGGAAGCCAATACACATGGGGAATACTTTAAATTCCCAGGCCCCCAGGAGCCCATCAGCCTGGGGGTGTAGGGTCCAGGCTCCCCTGCAGGACAGCAGGGACCCGCTGTTGGCATTTTGGTGGCGGAGGGGTGGGACTGGGTGTTCTGACACAGGCACATTGTGGGCAGGTGTCCACAGTGGCATCTGCTGGACCTGTCTGGGGTTGGCCCATGCGCTCTTCCCTCTGGGATGCCCCATGGACCTACACACCCTATGTCAGGCTTGGGCCAGGACGTTTCCCCAGTGAAACCCAGCAGCCACAAGGAGAGTGCCCCTGGCAGGGGGACAGGTGGGAGTGAGCACAGAATGTTCTGAGACCGTTCAGGGAGGAGGCTGGGCAGCAGCCAAGTGGGAGACATGACTGGGCCTCAGACAGACGGAGAAGATGGCCAGGAATAGGCAGAGTGACCGGCAGGATTTCTGAGGATTGGGGATGTAGGTGTCAAAGGCTAGTAACAACCCCTTCCCCAAGCATTTGATGCTCGGGCCAGCTGTCCTGGCCACCTGCTAGCCTCTGTGAGGCCCATTCCTGTCTTCCCCTCAGTCCTGTGGCTGCCTCCTGGCTGAGTTCCTGTCATCTACTTCCCAAGTATGTTCTCTGCACTGTGTCACTGTGTGGAATCGCTCACACATCCAGTGGCCAGCAGTTCTGCCCTGGGATGACGGCCCAAAGGAGCCTTCAGAAGTGCCCCTGGAAGGGAGCAGTCAAGGCTACATGGGCATCATCTCGGGGCACAGGGACAAGAGCAACACGAGGGCCTTGATGCAGCATGAGTGGCAACCTGGCACGATACGTGCACCTTAAAAGCACGGCACAACCCAAGAGAATTGAAAACACGTGTTCAAACAAAATGCACAGGCACATCCATAACAGCACTACTCACGATAGCCACAAGGGAGAAGCAACCCAAAGCCCGTCAATGGATGACTAGATAAAATGTGGTCCATCCATTATCCAACAGAACATTATTTAGCCATAAAAATGAAGCACTGATACACGCTACAACGTGGGAAAACCTTGAAGACGTCAGGATGAGTGAAAGAAACCAGACACAAAAGGACACATGATACATGATTCCATTTATATGAAATACCCAGAAGAGGTAAATCCAAGAGTGACAGAAAGTAGATTAGTGGTTTTCTGGGGCTGGGGTAATGGGAATGGGGAGTGACTGCTAATGGAGATGGGGTCTCCTTCTGGGGTGATGAAAATGTTCTGGAACTAGACAGAGGTGCTGACTGTACATAGTAAATGTATTTAGTGCCACTGAATTGTAGATGTTTAAATGTTAATTTTATGTTATGTGACTTTCACCTCAAAAAGGAAGAAAAAAAAAACAACCTAGGCACATGAAGGCTGACCCATGAGTTTTCTAAGAACACAGGGAATAGAACACCAGGCAAGCAAGAAAGTCTGTCTGTGGCGAGGGCCAGGACAGACAGTGCTGTGGGCCTCGCATGCCATGTCTCAGGGGTTTTCTCCCCTCTAGGCAGGGCTGGACTGAGGAACATCATCATTAGAGGGGAAAAGATGCAGGTTTCCACCAGGTCCTCCAGTCCAGGACATCGGGTTCTCCATCCTCACACTCTGTAGTTTATAGCAGAAGTCTCTGTGGCCCCACTGGCTGGGCGGGGAAGGTTAGTCTTTGGGATGGCACATGTGAGGGGCAGACGGCACAACAAAGACACAGTGAGTGATGGCTCCCGCAAGTTATTTTACTTTGAATATATAGGAAAAGAAATTTACAAATGAGAAGCTATGTTCTACGGTTATGTCTTTTAAACAATTCTTGTATTTACAGAATTGTTTTTCCTGATTAAAAGCACCAGTTGAAGATACAGGCTGCTAAAAACATAAGACACTGCAAACCCATTAAAAGACCGTATGCCAAACATACTTACTGAAAACCCTTTAAGGAAACAAAGACAATGCAACCAACAAATTTACCAACTGTGCCAGGCAGCCCTTTCCGATTTCCCTGCCTGTGCTCCCAATAAATGGGACGGGGAGTGCTTACCCAAGGGGGAGGACCCTGGCCTCACCCACGGGCGACTGGGGGGATCCAACAGGGGAAGGCAGCTGGCACCTCCTGGACCAATGTCCCCAGAACCGTAGGCCCTGAGGGCCACCACTGCTCACAGGAGGAAGTGAGAGGCGCACACAAGGGGTCTAACCAGCCTTTTTTTTTTTTTTTGCGGTACGCGTGCCTCTCACTGTTGTGGCCTCTCCCGTTGCGGAGCACAGGCGCCGGATGCGCAGGCTCAGGGGCCATGGCTCACGGGCCTAGCCGCTCCGTGGCATGTGGGATCTTCCCGGACTGGGGCACGAACCCGTGACCCCTGCATCGACAGGCGGACTCTCAACCACTGCGCCACCAGGGAAGTCCTGGAGTTTTATTTATCTGTTTTTTCCTGAACACTTAGCTATACGACACTAGCTGTAATGTCTCCCTGGGGGCTTGTTTGCACTGTCTTAAATTCTTATGATTGAGAAACTGTGAGGCACTGAATTTGGACTCACAGGAAGGTATTTATGACAGCTTTATGTAATTGAAAGGTGCTGCAGTGAAGGGGACATTCAAAGCTCACACACACGCACTCAAGCAGTACAGGCGGGTTGGCTTCCATAAAGCTAGAGTGGAATATTAAACATCGAGTACTGAATTCTTAACTGTAAACTTAAGAACTTAACTTTACATATACATAGATAACAAAGTGGTCACTAAAAGCACTTTAACATCAGGACAGATGTTAAGTCTTGAGGTTCTTATTTCAACTACTCTACATACAAAATGTCCTAGAAGCAAAGAAAGGTTTAAATAAATACACAGAGACAAGCATGATGTAAAGTGTGATTGAAGAAATGTGGGTCTGGAGAGGTTCGACAGTGTGGAGTCCTGGCCTGCAGGCGCAGCTTGTAGCAAGACAGGTGCTCTGTCCCTCGGGTGGAGGGGAGGACCTGGGGAGCACCCTTGAGGGGGGAGGAAGACAGGATGTGGACAGCTCATGACCAGATGTCAGACCCACATTTGCAGACCTCACAGGCCCAGTGGTGTCATCAAGGGGGCAGCCCCAGGGAGCATGGGAGAGGACCAGACTCTTTCGAGTGACCCAGGATGACACAGAGAGGACGGGTCCTCTTAGGACAAAACTCTGCCAGCCCGTCCCTTCAACCAGCCTGTCCCTTCAACCAGCAGCTCACCTGCATGCCTGTTGCGGGCCCCCAAGAGGGCAGTGGCCCACAGCAGGGAGGTCTGCTGACAGGCCTGCTTATGGCTAAGGCACACCCAGGCCTCAGGGCCCAGGCAGCTGACCTGAGCGATCCCAACATTCCTTCCTTCACGGACACCGAGGCTTCTAGAAACAGCCTTCACGGTGCTGGGTGACTAGACGTGAACCAGCAAGCAGGTGTGACTAGCAAAACCACTCACCACCCCTCATCAGGGAAATGACCCCAGGTGCTGGGAGCTAAAGACGGCAGCGGCTTTGACTACCCCCAACGTCACCGTCACCTGGGGCACCTCCTCAACTATCCAAGAGGAGCACAGAGCCGAGAACGGCTGGCTGGGCCTGGCAGAGCCTCCTGGGGTCCAGCTCCGGAAAAGTTTTCAATGCTGTTCTGAGAGCCAAGGCAGGTAGGTTTCCTCCTCCCTCCCTCTGAAAACAGGGCAGGGGGCCAAGGGAGTGGCTGCCTGCAGGCTGGTGGAGCTTCAGGTGTCTGCAAACATTCTCCGCAAAGGAGGCTGCAGAGCTGCCAGAAAGCAAGCCCCTATGATCCGGCACCCTGAGTTGGGCTGAGGAAGGTCCCTCTCCCCTGCTTCTTGCCCCGCACTATGGACGCTGACAGGGGGAGGGTGGCTGGTGCAAACACAGGAGTTTCTGCTCTGGGCGCCAGCTCTGTGAAGCCACACACACACACACACACACACACACACACGCACACACGCGCACGCACACACGTGCACCCCCACGGCTGGACAGTGAATCCAGTCAAGGCGCAGATGTTTGGAAGCCAAGTTCCTGGGTCCCCCAGGGCCCCTAGCTAGAGGCCCCAGCTGCCAAAAGGATGGATGCTGGACAGAAAGGCAAGCTGAGAAAAGCATTGTGGCAGGATGTACATTTTTTGTCCCTGACATGAGCAATGACTTCTTCCCTCTAATTTTGGGCCAGAAACTGGTGTCTTGCCTCTGGGCACTGGAAGCTGCCATGAGCAGAGGAAACACTCCAGCGCAGCACAGAGGCCCAGGAGATGGAAGTCATGTGGCACCTCGGTGGTAAGGACCACCCCTGCATGCAGGATCAGGAGCTGGCCGGTGGCTGGCACTCCACTCCCCGCCCAGACACACTCTCTTGAAGATGTGACTCAGTCGTGGAAGCAGGACTGGCAGCTCAAGTCCACTTTGAAGGATGGCTCTGGAAAGTTGGCTCCAAAATCCCACCTGTGAGCCTCAGCACCTGGACTCCTGGTACTCGGCAAGAACGGCCAGCCGGCCCTTCCTGGGAAGATGGGAATTGGCCCTCCACACTCCCCAGGGACTTGGAAGCTCTGGAGACAGTTGGGAAAGAAGCCTGGGGACAGCCACGCCAGCACGTCTCTAAGGAAAGCTCAAGTGCCATCTGGGTGGAAGTCGGGGACAAACCAGGCCCCACAGAGGCCCAAAGAAGCTGAGTGGCCCTGTCCAGGGGTCTCACAGGAGGCTGGCCAGGCTGGTGTTGGGTCCATTCTGAGCTTGGAACTGCACAGGAGGCGGGCCGTCTGTCCACTGTTGGGGAAGAGGACACACAAGTGAGGTCCTTCTTAGAGAGAAGCAGGGGTGTGCTGGGCCACATGTCTGCACCTGGAATGCTGCCCTCCTCGGGCTGGTCACCAGCGAGGACCCTGCATCTTCCACACTTGAGTCAGATGGGCCCCCAGGAAGCAGCCTGCATCACCCACTTGGGTTGGTGCTATCTTGCCCATCCAAGGGGGCTCCTGAGGCCAGGCTGAGTTAGGGATTGTTGGAGAGATGGAAGGAAATGGTAGCCAAGTGTGTACTTCCCTCCTCAGGAAGCGTGTCCCCCAGGGGCTACAGACCAGGTGAGCTGGCCCCAAGGAGCAAACCAGCACCCTCATTTTGTCTCTCCCACCCTATGCCCGTACCGTAATGAGGTTGTGCTCAGGGAGGCTGCATGCCTCGATGTGGTCCTGGAGCAGCTGCTGCGAGAAGTTCTGGTGCATCTGGGCGGCTTCATGGGCATCCATGGCATTCCCGCAGGCTTTGTTCAGGTCTGAGGGTGGCATACGCACAAAGGATGGGCCTGCTTTGGCCTGCCACTGCCCCCACATCCTCCCCTTGGGTGGAGCCCTAAAGTCAAACCCCAGCTCTGCCAGTGGGTTGCTGTGTGCCTGGCACATCACCTGCCCTGAGCCCTGTGTCAAGGTCAGCAAAGCCCACTTGCCAGCAGCCCTCACATGTGCCCTCCTATGTTCCTGAGTCCTTTGTCCTTGGAGGTGGATGAGCAACAAGGCCCATAGGGGCAGATATAAGGGCTAGTAGGGCACTGAAAGTCCCTGGGGCTCCCTGTGGATGCAGCACTCAGCACTCCCAGGGATTTCCCGGCCAGCTAGCTCTTGGGCACCCAGGAGCCAACCGGGAGCAAGGCACCCAATGCTCACTTCTGAGGCAGGAGGACTGAATGGGTGCATGAAGTCCACTGCAGATAGGATAGTCCACTGCCCTCTACCTCCTCCCCAGGTCCCTGGGTGAGTCTATGGACCTCAGTTTCACAACCTGTAAATGGGAGAGCAGCAGTAACAACAATGACACCTGCTGAGCACCCTGGCTCGTCCTGCCTGACAGAAATGACTGCCATCCCCATTCATGGGAAAGAAACTGAGGCCAAATGCCAGGGCTCATAGCTCAATTCTTCACTCAGATGCCAAGAACTAGCCTTGTGGGTCCCAGAGAGACAGAATCAGATTCTGCATAGATCTCACTATGTGAACGAGCCCACTGCCCTCAAACAGGGCCTCCTGAGAAGCCTGAGAATGTGCTAGAACTGGGGCTATGGCCTGCAGAGGCCCAGTCTGAAGCAGAGGCTTAGCAAGGCTTACCTAGGATCCTCTAGCCTTTGGCTCTGCTCAGAAGCCCCAATCTCTTACTCACCTCTTAGCAGGGCCGATGACCACAGCTGCACTGACATGTCTGGGATCTTGCTGGCTAGCTGCATGGCTGGCACCACCATGTTGTTACTCTCCTGTCGATCGAGAGCAGTAGAGGAGTCAAGGGTGGGGGTTGGTGGTAGAAAGGGCTGGTGGCAGGGACAGCGTGGGCCCCACCTGTGACCTCCTACTGCTTGGCATATACCCACTGCTACTTCAGAGCCTATCTCAAATGACCCTCTCCGAAGTACTCCTCAACCACCTTGGAAAAATAAACTGCCCCCACGCCTCAGCTCTGCATGTGCCTCCTCCCTGGGGTACGGCCATGGGCAACTCTCTGTGCCTTTGTCTTTCTAGCCAGAGGAAAAGGCACTGGTGGCAGTCAGCCCTGGACCCATATCAGAAGCTGATTAGAAATACAGATTCAGGGGTCCCAGGGCTGGGCAAAGGCAGCAGTCTGTCCTGGCAGGAGCAACAAGGGCTGAACGGACAGAAGAGAGAGGAAGAGAAGTTTCTCTTCTACGTACGAGCCTGCTCTTGTGCGATGCCACCTGGGACACACAGGGCTGTTGAGGCAGCAGGACGTTTGAACCCTCCAACCCTGACTCCACCACGTGACTGCAACAGCGCCCCCAGCCCCTAATCCCCAGGAGGAGCTGAGTGAGAGCCGCTGGGGGCTGTAAACACCCATCCTTGACCCCACAGTGACCAGCAGCACTGCCCTGACTCCACCCAGTCCAGAGACCACAGCCTGCTGGCCTGAATGTTGGGTTCAGGGTGACACTGGGAAAACTCCCAATGCGGCAATACCTTGCAGCCTGGGGGACACTTGGCATGTAGCCCAGAGACGTACAAATCCTCAAAACCAACTCCTGAGGCCCAGATTCAACATGGCCACAGTTGTGCAGGACATGCCACCACACAGACACAAAAGCCCAGTGACTTTATGCTGCCCTGTGGCCAGCACCTTGAAGATAAGCTCCAGGTGGGTCTCAAAGCTTTTCAAAATTGAACCAAGCCCTTCCGAGACCTCAGAATGCACAGCAGAACAGGAAAAACTACTCTCCTCTCTAGGCCTGGGGCTGGGAGGGAGCTTCCAGGAGGGAGAGTCCCCCTTGGCTCAGGTTCCCCCATGACAGCTTGGGGCTGCCCCACAAAACCTGGGTTTGAAGAGTGGTGTGATCCTGAGAGCAGTCCTGTATGACACCACCCGCAAACTTGTAATGCCCAAGGACACTCTGGCCTGGCAGGCCCGGGGCAGGCAGTGTCTCCCCCAGACCTGGAGCTGCTTGAGGCGGGACCTGGGTTTGAGGACTCTTGGTGGCCCCATGTTACCCCATGTGGGCCCAGGCACAAAGGGAGCAGCAGAGGTTCCCAAATAAGCTCTATAATTTCCTCCGGGACTGTCCCAAACATGAACCAGAAGCTGCAGCTGAAGAGCTGCTCTGCCAATCCTAAAGGTGGCTTCTGGACAAACAAGAGCCAACAAGGTCTGGGTTCTAAGCCTAGGTTTGCAGTTTGGGGCTGTGTCACTTTTTTTTTTTTTAAACTTTATTTATTTTTTGGCCACGCCGTGCGGCGTTCGGGATCTTAGTTCCCCAACTAGGGACTGAACCTGTGCCCCCTGCAGTGGAAGAGCGGAGTCTTAACCACTGGACTGCCAGGGAAGTCCCTTTTTAAAAATTTTTATTATTTTTTTAAAATTTGGGGCTGTGTGCCTTCAGTCTCCCCATCTGGCAACGAGGTAATCACAGCCACTGCAGCAGGACACAAGGCACCTGGCCTACACTCAGTGGAGCCTCACGTTGAGCACCTTGTCCCTGCCTAACCCCCAGATACACACTGAGGCCACTGCCCTCACTGTGCTCAGTGAGTAGTGTGACAGGTATTGTAGGAGGAGTGGAGCTACACTCAGAAGGGAGAACTTAGTACTGGTCCTCCTCCTTTCAGGGTGATGATACCCCACAGGGTTCAGGCCACAGCTACAGGGCATGTTGGCCTGGCAAATGCTTACCACATGACTGTGGGGAAGGGGATGCACCAGGCTCCTTAAAAGCACTCACCCTTCAGAAGCCCCGGGGCTTGATCAGATAGAACTTTATGGGCCAAGACAAGTACCCTGCACTATCTGTCCCCAAAAAACAGCTGAAGTGCATTTGGCTAAACTACGGAGTTGATGCAGCTTAAAAATTCTCACTGCCATTAGAAAAAAGCTCCAACACAGTGGTGCACAGAAAGACCAGACATAAAATTATAAAACAGCCTGATAAACAAAACCTATGCATGGGCAGAGGCAGGCAATGGAAAGAGCTGGAAGACACAAGACATGCGACGACTTTCTCCTTTGCTTCTCAGACTTTCTATGAGAAATAAAATACATGCCGTATTTTATATCGACAAATATTTTCTTTAAAAACTTAAAGACGCTGTATGGTCGATGGGTTAGAGCAGGTGAGATATACATACACCCCCAGATGGGGAGACTCGGAGCCAACTGATCCCACCAGAGACCAGCTGGCATGGGTGGGGACCAGGCCTAGGGGGACACTGTTGGTGAGGGTAAAAACACAGAGTGCACTGAAGACACCATGTGTGATGGGCAGAGATGGAATCCTTGGGATTGTGACTGAGAGGACACACTCCTTCTCTCCAAGTATTAACAGGAAAGGGAACCTGCCCTCAGCCTTGCCAGTTTTGGGCAGCCTGACCAGCTCTAGCTCCACTGAGCCCTGGGGCTTTGCCTGACGACTGCCCATGACCAACACTGGCCCTGTCTGCCCCACAGATGCATCCTCGAGGGATCCAAAGCTCCCCCAGCCCTGCCTGCCCAGGCTGGCTGAGCCTCACGGAGCAATGGTGGGTCAGTGAGACGCGATCACTGTGGGGCACAGAATGGGAGGCACCTCCTTGCTAGGTTCCCCCCACTAAGCACCACCCTGGCCCCATGCCCCTCAGCCTGAGCCCTGACACTCACCCTATGGTTTCCCAACACATAGAAGATGTGGCCCAGGAGCACAAGGGAGCAGGCTGTAAGCCGGTTCAGGTCCTCTGCATTGGACATCTTCAGGGTCTCCCGCAGAAATCGCCTTCATGAGAAGAACAGGTGATGAGGCCCCGTCGGGAGGCCTCTGGGGAAGAAACAGCAGCAGTGGCCTTGAGGTCCTGAGCAGAGGGCCACCCACCCCATCGGGCAGTGGGTGGGAAGGGCAGGGACAGGGGACCTGGGCACATGCTGCTGGGGGAAGAGGAACACCGGGAGGTGCCGGGCACGAGGCCACCTGCCCTCTCCCAGTACTCACTTGGCCTCGTTGTAGCGTCCCTGGAAGAAGGAGAAGAGCCCACGCACGTAGAAAGCTGCTGCTCGGAGGCAGTGCGAGCTGAGGGGAGAGCGGAGCGTCACACCTTGGTGGGGTTTTCGTGAAAGCAGCAGATTTACAAAAGGGGAGTGGGTGGGGGTGTATGAGGTGTTGGGGTACATGGGGCAGTCTAGGGCCCCACAGGTGCTCACACCACCCCAAAGAGCAGAGAAAACATAAGATAGCTAGTAAAGTAGAACTCAGGGCCTGGGGCAGCCTACCTGACAGGGAAGCTGTGGTCCGGATTGATCCTCTCCAACAAACTGTACAGCTGTGAAAGAAATGTCTGCAAGTTAGGATAATTCCACATTTCTAAATATGAGAACTCGGCCCCAGATATGCTAGTAAATTGACTAGGGCTGCCTGCAACTTCCTGAGGAATGTGCCCGTACCCCAAATCCCATGCCTGTAAGCAACCTGCCGGGAGAAGGGGCAGGACCTGCAACATCACTGACATCTTAGGTGCCCTTTGGCTGTCATATGGAGGGTGTGCTGGTGGATGAGGGCTGAAGTGGGCTGAGGCTTCACCCAGTACCCACACAGTCCCTTCAGGAGGCAGACAATGGGGTGGGGGTGGGGAGGAGACACAAGGGAATCAAACTCCTCTGAGACCACCAAGACCACACTAGGCCCTCATGACGCTGCCCACTGTGCTTCCTGACTACTGGAGCAACTGCACTGGGCTTTCTTTCTTTTTTTAATAAATGAGGTGTCTTAAAAAAATTAATTAATTATTTTTTTGGCTGCGTTGCGTCTTCGGTGCTGCACGTGGGCTTTCTCTAGTTGTGTCGAGTGGGGCCTACTCTTCGTTGTGGTGCGTTGGCTTCTCATTGCTGTGGCTTCTCTTGTTGCGGAGCATGGGCTCTAGGCGGGTGGGCTCAGTAGTTGTGGCACATGGGCTCAGTTGCTCTGTGGCGTGTGGGATCTTCCCAGACCAGGGATTGAACCCATGTCCCCTGCATCGGCAGGCGGATTCTCAACCACTGTGCCACCAGGGAAGTCCTGCACTGGGCTTTCTACCCAGAGCATTCAAGCTAACTAATCACCTGGGAAGTCAGCTAGGCTTTTTGTAGCCAAGAGGTGATAGTGGCCTGAACTAAGAAATGAAGGCCACAGGGGTGGAGACAAGTGGCTGAATCTGAGATACTCTAGAGGGGTCAGGGCTGGGGGGGGTTGCAGGGATAAGGGGGTGTTGCAAGGGGAACCTAGTGGGAGGGACTTATCCTGCGAGGTCAAGCTCTGGCCCACCTCCCCGCCTCAGCAGGTTGGGGCACCAGAACAACCTAGGGGCCTAGTGCAGACAGCTGCCCAAGCTGTTGCTCCTCATAACTGAGCCATGAGGCCTCACCAATGTTCTAGAACAGACATCTCAGGGTAGAAGAAATTGGGTTTTTTTCCTGAGGGATTCAGTAAAGCTTGGCTCATTTTCAGTAGGGGAAAGTGCTGACTGGCTATGGGAACGTTTCTGTCCTAGACTTGGCCTTCCCCCAGCCATGCCTACGCTCCGCTGCGTGGGACACCTTGTTGGAGGGCAAATACGCCAGGGCTGCTGAGATTTGCTGGTGCCCAGGACAACACTCCCCCCATGCCCCCCTCCAAGTAAGAGTTGAAACAAAGGATACCAAACATGAAGCATGTCACCTACTACCTCTTGGTGTCTATTTCCTTCCCGTATATACACACTCGCCAGATTGGTCACGATGAAGGCCCACAGCTCCTGGTGATTGGTGAGCTGGAATGGGAGACACAGGGCATTAGGGGGCTGGGCTGGGCACAGTCATGTCACATAGGGGCCGCTTGGTGGCATCAGAGCCACCCAAAACGCTCCACAGTGGCTACCTCGGAATCTCCTTATTATTTTCATTCAAACACACCCCCCTTGCCTCCTAAACCCAAGGACAACAAAACTGTTAGTTCTTTTCATTATAAAACGATCACCCACGTTATGGGAAATTCCGGAAACAGAAAAGAAAAGCCAGCCACCCTGACCCTGCCCTCAGAACACAGCACAGCTTGGTCTATTCTCTGCTGTCTCTCGGTCTGAGGCCTGGCTGGGCCCTCCCTCTACGCCACAGGTGGTGACCCCAGGACCCGTGCGCTGACACAGCAGAGGAGTACGCTGATCCTCGGGGAGGCAGGGGTCCTGCCTGGAAGAAGCCGAAGCTGTTAGAGACCAGAAATGCTTCTAACGGCTGGTGGTGGACAGATCCTGATCCCCAGTTCTTCTGGGGGGACAAGAACGGCCACGAGAGGGACCAAGCTGAGCGGGCTGAGCATTCCCAATGGGGCTGAGGGAGCGCAGCTGTGAAGGAGGCCAAGGGTGCCTGGGAAGCACAAACTCCACCTGGAGGCCCCTGGCAGGTGCCAAGGAGGTCCAGAGGGTCATCTGATCTGAGCAAAGATGCTCCAATATGTTTGTCATGGGACCGCAGAAACAGCGTGTGGTTGAGGGTCACGCAGGGTTTGGGCCCAAGTCCTGGCTGCACCCCCCCTCCCCCAGCCAGTGGGGAGGACTTCCTGGGACAACACACCATCCGTTGGGAATTTTGATGTTGAACCAAACAAGCAGCAGCCACTTGTGTAGGAACTAAGATGGGGAAGGAGGGTCCAAGAGACCTCCATAGGGCCACGGGCAAGGTGGGGTGGTCCTGGCACCACCGTAGTGAGCAGCACCAGCCGACCAGGGCCCAAAGTAGCTGTGACACAAGTCAACGCCACCTGGCAGGCTATCAGGAAGACTGGGAATCGTGAGCGAAAGTGGCTGAACAGGCCATGGCACCAGCCCTGAGTTAGCTGGGGAAGCCCCACTACAGGCTAGCCAGTAGCCCCCTTGCCCACAGCTATCCCTCATTAAGCTGTGCTGTGGGTGCTGGCCTTGTCTGCAGCTGAGCAGCACAAGACGTGACACAGAAAGCCCTGGATAAGTGGTGTATCACTGTCACCACTGGCATCAGGCTGAATGCTGGTGGAGTCACCCGCTGACCATGGTTTTGTATGGCTGTTGTCCTCATCACAGACCACGCCTGACTCCTTACTGAGAAGCACTGCCTGCCCCATAAAGCGAGGGCCGGCACCTTACCCGCAAAGCTGTGGTGAACTGGGCTTCAGCGTTGTCCATGCAGTTGACAGAGACACAATACAGGCCCTGGAAGAAGAAGTTGCTGAGGGCTCAGAGCCACATGCAGCTTGCCCGGGGCTGCACAGCTGCACCCAGGCGAGCCTGACAAGTGACTCTACTGAGCTAGCTATATCTGAGCTTTACCCTGACAAACAGGGAGAAAGATGGCATGCTTAATTATTCCTGCCTCCCGGGACCTAAGTCAACTTGGACTTGATGACATGCTTGTCAGAGTGAAGTCCACAGGGAAGGTTCTGAATTCTGCCGGGGGTGGTGGTCAGAGGGTTACTCGCAGGGGTGGGGCTGGAGGCGGGCAGCCCTCATGCACTCACCAGCAGTGTATGCAGCTGTGCTGCGTGGTTGGAGAAGAGCCGGGGGGATTGCTGGCACAGCTGACAGACCTGGGAGATCTGCCGGGAGAGAGCATGTCTGACATCACTTGGCCTGTAATGTGGAACCCAGTGTCCTGGCAGCATTGAGGAGAGACCCCAAAGCCGGTGGGTGTGCCCATGTCGTGCCCACTTTAACTTGGGCACAAAGTCCCAGCGGATGTGCCCATTGTGAGGATTAGGCACAGCCTTGACCTCTTTGAGGATGGTGACCCTTGTCCATTACCCACTTTCTCCCTTTCCAACTTGTGTCTCAGCTGTACAGTACCTTCACCCTTATCAAGGCCCCCGTGCCCTTTCAGGAAGGTGGGCATAAGGGATTACAGATCACAGGGCAGGAGGAGTGCTAGAACTGCCGTCAGGGGACCCTAAAACCCCAGACCCCATGTTCCTTGGGCATGCCAACTTTTAGGTAAAAGCCTCTGATCAGTTGTGTCCACGCAGGGTCATGGACTGCCAAGTTATATTCATATGACAGATGACGTCCTGCTGACACGCACTGGCGACACATTTACATTCTCCCACATGACACCCTCCGAGACCCAGCAAACTCAAACCACTCTACCCCTCAGCCTTCCCACCCTGTGTGTGTGCAGCCCCCAGTGGCCTCACCTCCTGCAGCGCTGTGGCCTTGTGTCCTGTGACGAGCCTGCACATGATGATGTGCTCGAGCAGGATTACTTGGAAGGAGGACAGAATGGGGCTGCAGTCGAGCACTGGGGGCGAGAGGCAGGGGTGAGCATTCGAAGCATGGGCGGAGGAGGCGCTGACCCCTGCCTCCTAGGGGCTTCGAGCCCTCCGGCCACACCGGCCCCATAGCTACCTGGGTCTGAGCCCACTTGCTCCGCTGGACACTGGCCCAGCACCCAGTCTGTCACCTTGCTCGTTGTCCACAGCACCCTCAAGCGAGGGGCTGCATCTCCCTGTCTAGGTGAGGAAACAGGCTCATAGCAGGCTTTGGTGACCAGAGTATTGTAAGAGCAAGAAATTCTGGAGGGATCTGTCTTTCATCCTCACCACACCCCGACCCAGCTGAGTGCTCAAGGGCACTCTGGACACAACACATTCTAGAAATGCTGAAGTTGTCTGGGAGACTGAGACGACGTGATAGGCCTCAGGCAACAGTGGGGGGACCCTAGCTTCTGGCTGCCCCAAGCAGCTGTCCTCACATTGGAACCAGACAGCACTTTCCCAACTCATCTGAAGGGAAAGAACCGCAGCCCCCGCGGGCGTCGTTGGTTCTCTGGCTCTAAGGCTCTTCCCCAGCAGCACTGACAAGGGCACAGGGAATGAATGAGGTTAACAGGCGCACAAGCCAGCCAGGGATGTGTGGGGCCCTGGGTTCCTACTAGTCAAAGGTCCTTGATCTCACAGGATGGATTAGTCAAGCATCCAGGAAGAACCCAGGGCCTCCAGAGGACCTGCTGTCAGTCAGTTCCAATCCCAACCTCACCCTGAACACAATCCACATCACGATACTGATAATAGACAGCAAAAGCAGCCAACACCTGTTTCAACTGAGCACTGCCGCCCCAGCAGCCCCCAGTGGAGTCCCGCTAACCCTCATAGCTATCTTGCGCAGTGAGGGGGACAGGACAGAGACGGCACAACCATCCCACAACACAACCCCTTGGGGATCAAGGATCCAGTCCAGGCCTGGCCTGCTCTGCCCGAACCTGGATCGTCCTCATCTGCCAACTGGGGTAACAAGACCCATGGGGCAGGGACCCGTGTTGCAGTCTTTAAAGGTCCTTCAGGCCCAGCATAGGAGGTGGTGATCGGGCCACCCACCGGGGGCTACTTGACCCACTGAGCCCCACAGAGCCTGACTTACTCTTGAGCTTCTCCAGCTGCATGAGGGCCTTGTCTGTGTACTTCTGTGCCTTCTCTAGGTAGCCGGCTTGCATGGAGTGCATCACAGTCACCTGGTGACAAGATCAGATGGTGGTGGTCACTGGGGCCCTCTCCTCTCTCACCTGGGCCACCAGGCCCCGGCCCCTCCAGGGACTCACCAGGTAGACAAGCACGCACATGTGCTCCTTGGGCAGCCAGTGGAAGAGGTCAGCGGGGTTGCTGGGCAGGATCTCATCATCGTGCAGTGTGGAGATGGTCTGGATGCACTGCTGCAGCTGCTTCAGGCATGGCTTCACGCTCTTTACCTGCAGCAGGCAGACAGCAATGCACACCTGAGCACCCGTCTGCTCCTATCAGGTGCCAACTACCTGCCCATCGGCCCCTCAGCCCTTCCTTCCCGGGAACTCCTACCACACCTACCACTTGCAGGAAGCCCATCCCCACAGATGGGTCAGCCAGCTTTCAAGGCACAGGGCAGGGCCAGGAGGGTCATCTGTGGCACTGAGGCTCCACCACCACCCAGCGCAGGGCCCAACACCAAGGCCTGGGAAAGGCCTGTTCAAAGACCCTGCTCCAGCCACATTTTCTCCTTCCTGCAGTGACCCCAAGAGAGGAGGACACGGCTGGTTATCCTGGGGGGTGTGAAGTGGCCACTCGGAGTCCTGCAGGTGCTGTGGTTTATACAGACTGGCCTTTCTGCACCAGGAAGCCCCATCCCGAGGCCCTACAGGCCATCTCCACAGCCATCAGCACCCTGTGAGAATTTGCACTGTGCTCCTATGTGTTGACTGAAGTGCTCGGCCCAACAAGCAAAGGTGGATGCACGTGGGGGAACCGAGGAAGCGTGACAGGGTGGGGAGGGTGTGTGGAGCAGCACCTGTCCAAAAGGCTGAGACGTTCCCCCACGTACAGGTACAGCTGCTCCTCAACCATATGAGGGTTATGGGCATTTTGTGTATGTGCCTCAAACACAGCTGATTTTGTTAGTCCCTACTCAACTCCCACAAAGCTGTCATTAACTGGGGGCGGGGTGGGGGATGGACACTGCTTGAGCACCTGCTGTATGCCAGGCACCATGCCAGAATCCCCAGTGTATTTTCTTGGATTCCCCAAACTGCCCTCAAGGTCATTTGACCATTCACACACTGAGTAGATGTGTGTGAGGCCACAGCTATTCCCGCTATAAGGGCAGAAATGGGACAGACCCATTCCTGGAGTGCCCTCTGTCCACAAAGGCACAGTACTCATGCCAGAGTACGACAGGGCTGTGGGGGAATCGAGCCCCGAATGACAGACGTGCCCAGTGGTGAGGGACAGGAGGAAATCACAGAGCAGATGTCTTAGCTTACAGGCCCACCCACCACCTGCCTCCTCCCCAGCAGCCCTCAGGTGAGAGGCACTACATACCTGCCCAGCATCCAAGTAGTGGGTCACCTGGAGCACCAGGAAGAAGACACGCAGAGACTCTTTCTGGATGGGGTTCCCTTGCCAGTTCTCAACTATCTGTCCACAGAGGGTCAGTAGTGGGTGGACTTCCTGCAACTTGCGCTCCATCAACAATAGCTGGGGAGGGAGAGATGCACGTGCTGGGAGACCCTCCTGGTACAGAGGACTGCCACCCACCTGCCCACGCGCTGTGGGACTGCTGGCACCACGAAGGGAGGGTGCATAGCCGGGCTGGAACCCAGGTCTAGGCAGCTCCAACCCAGGCTGCTCTTCCATCAGCACAGATCCCACAACCTGGAACCTGAGTTTTACCTCTGAATCCAGCTGGGGGACATGGGCCTGCCCCTCGTGTCTGCCTGCCATGCGTGAGGGTCTGGGCGCCTGAGGGGCCACAACATGGCAAGCAGGCGAGGCTTTGGCAGACCTCGTGGGGACCCGGCCTCACGTCCACCATACCAGTCCCATCCCATCCAGGCTCCACTTACCATCCCTTTGCTGAGCAGGAACAGTGCCCTGGAAAAGAGAGGGGTAGTCAGGTCTGGGAGACTCAGGCACCCCTTGGGATGACTGTGCCATCTCAACATTCACAGGAACCTAACGAGCCACCTCTGGGACAGTTAAATGGATGACAATGGACCCTGGCCAATTAGGTCTGTTTTATTTATAAGAGAGCTCTATTTTGTTCTATTCTATTTGTCTTTAGCTTTTTCCTGTTTAGACACTCATGTGGTTCAAAAGCTCAGAAAGCAGAAACATGTGCTCAGAAAGCACAGAGGGGCAGGGTACAGGACAGCACATCCACCATAACCTTACTCTCGCTGACACAGCAGATCACAGGTTCCATGTCTGGGGACAGCACAGAGTGAGGCAAGGAGAGAAGGGGGGTAAGTAATCAGCCTCAGGTGTCCGAACCGAAATCTGCACCTCACCGTGGCCCCTCTGTGCCCCCCGCTTCCTTGCCTATAACCAGCCAAGCCCCCTTGGGCTCTCCTGAGGGTTAAGGGGATGAAACTCAGGAAGCCTAGGCATGTCAGCAGCTTCGCTGCCCGCTGTCCCCACCCTCAAGGGTGGCGTGGCCAGGAGATTTCTACTGTCTCTCTTAAATCTTTCTGCACTTTCTAATAAACAAGCACGTACTGCTGTCATCAGCAAGAAAAATAATAAAATGAACACATTAAAAGGTTTATGAGACTGCCAAAAGACAGAGGAGGGCAGCCCAGCCTCACCCCAGTGCCTAGGGGCTGCTCACGGCACTGGCGTTGGGACAGGCTTTTAGGATCGGCTGTTGGGCTGTCGTCACAGTTTGTTTAACATCTAAGTCTTTGTCCCGCCAGTCTGTGCAGAGTCCCCATGTGCTGCAGCTGACACCCCATCAAATGGGCATCATTCCAGGTGAGTAGACTGAGGTGGAGGGGGGTCCCAGTCACACAGTGAGAGATGTCTATACTCCCAGCCACCTCGCCATTCCTTGTTGTTACCTCACGGTGTGGACACTCTAAGGTCTACTGTCTGACTGCTGAAATCTAAGGCCTCGAACTTCACGTCAAGGTTCCCATATTGTCACATCACTAGGCCATATGCCCGAGATCAGAAGTTCTGTGGCAGGCGACCTGTAGGCATCATGCCCTAGTGAGGCCCACCCAGGTCCCCCGCCCACAGTGGTACAGAGACCTGTTTGAGGACACTTGTGACTGAACATGTGCAGTGTGTGGCCATCCCCATGCCCTGCAAGGCATGAGTGTCACCCAGAATCCAGTGATGGCCACAGCACGAGGAGGATAAGATGGGCCAGGAACACAGACCAGACTGTGTGACAGTGTCCATCCCAGGGCAGGTTGGTTGAGGGATGACAGCCTGTGGGGAACTGTGTGGACCGCTGTGAGCACTTGCAAGTCCAGAGCTTAGAGAATGGAGTTAGGGACTGTTCTGTCCCAATAACCCCATGGGACAAGCTTAGATTTTGTGTTTCCAGAATCCCAATGCACACAACAGAATAAGAGCGCTGCTACCTGGAGTCTGGAATCCTACTACAGAGGATTCTTCTCTTTAGGGGAAAAAGAGACAGACTGGAGGCTCTCTTAGAGGGCACACAGTGAAGCACTGGTGGCCTCTGACCCCTGACCCCAACCCCAGGGCATTAGCCTCCAGGTAGTCTAAGCAGTTTCACGCATAACATGAACCTATGTCCCTTCTTTTACACAAATGTCCACTTACTCTGTCTCCTGTTATGTATCTAAAAACTCCTGGGTGTCCCCTGAGTGGGGACACTGGTTGCCAAGCATGCTGCCCACACTCTCTACAAGCACCACTCTCGCACTGCACCAGGAAGGGGATCAACCCAGAAAATCATACGAGCCCTTTTTATTTCAAGAGATCCTAGAAACGTGCAAGTGCTGATGGTACTGAGAATGCCAGCTGCCCCTCACCCTCACGGTCAACTCAACAACTCCTTACTTCATGAATCGATGGGGCAACAGCATCTCGGTGCTGCCTTAATTTGCATGTCTCTTACTATGTATAAGGGTGGCCATCGTTTCATGCTGAAATGCCATTTCTATTTGTTGTCCAGGATCAAGGTGGCCAAATTCTTTCCAAGTAAGAGGAGGAGGGGCCCAGGGAGAGGGTGCCTACCGTGTGTACTCAGATCCCACCACCCGGGCGTACTCGGCTCCCACACCCAGGAGGTCACAGGCTGACACCAGGTCCTTCTCAAGTGTGTGCAGTTGCTGAAAAGAAGAAAGAACAATGACCCTCATTTCCAAACCACTTGCTTTACAGTACCTGACCTTATGGCTGGCGAGTTAAACTGAACCTCCCTACATCAACGAAATTGCCTCAGTGTCAGTTTTCAGCTAAACTAAGCATATTATCTCATCAACAGTGTTTGGGTACAGAACTCCACTTTGTTTATAGTGTACATCATCTAAGCTTAATGGTGCATACAGCCAGCAGTTAACACTCACAGGTGCAGACCCCTCCAAGGCTGTGCGAGTATGTTTGAATGCTTCCCAGGTCACCTTCAGGGGGTGGTCACTAGGGGAGCAGCCAGAGGAGCCTCAAACAAGGAGGGACTCTTTCAGGGGTAAGTACCTATGGGAGTTTCAAACCCAGAAGCTTTGATAGGCTGAAAGGCAGGGACACCTGTGGGGCCTTGGTTGAGATCTTGGGATCCATGCTCACAGCACAAACCAATACTGTGACCTGAGGCAGGTGACTCACCGCCTGGCCTGCTTCCTCCTCTGCCAGCAGGCACAAAAGCACATGGAGGATAAAAGGAGGACAGTGCACGTGCAGGGCAGAAAAAAGCCTGGAGGGAAGGCAGGGGCCCAGGCTAGGTGAGCTCTTCTCAGCAGGGGACCCTCTGAGCCAAATCCTCCTGGCATTAATGCTCCCCCAGGGAGCAGGGGACACTTGCAGCCCAGCACCCACTGTGTGTTCAGGCAGGTGATGGAGCTTTATCGTGAAGGGTGGGCGAGAGATGGCCTGGTGGGTAGGCTGTGTCAAGGTCAGGAGAGGATAGAGGATGGCCAGTGCTGGGGAAGTGTGGGCAGACCCCAGGATGAAGAGGCACTCTTCATGAAGGAGTCTACCCAGCCCCCGGCCTGCAGACTCCTCCACTGTAGCCAGGAAAGCCCAGCGTAGAGAGCCCCTCACCAGCTGAGCATCTCAGAGTGCAGGGACCAGGCACCACCTACATCTGAGGAGCTTAAGGGAGGCTGAGGGCAGAGGGGCTGTGTGGAGACCAGGGTGAGGCTATACCCCAGCAGGCCCCAAAAGTGGGCTCTAGGAGAAAAGGCTTGACTCCAGCGTTTCTTGCTCAATAGGCAGTCCCTTGGAATCTCTGCACAGCTCTCAGAAAACAGAGTTGACCTCTGGCAAGAAATGCTCCCTAAATTTTGATGAATGCAGGCCAAAGGGAGCAACAGGAGGGAGAGAAACATGAAGACTAGGCCCCAAGTCAGCTCCAGGGGAAGGACACTCCCACCAATCACCCCAGGTGCTGCTGAGTGAGAGGCCCACCCTGGGAGTACCGCCTCCTGGCAACAGTCTGGAGGGGACTTGTGAGCAGGTCAAAGAAACGTTCCTGTGTCCCCATCCGCTCAGTACCGCAGCCTGAGGAAGACCCGTGTGTCCCAGAGTCTGCTTATTTGTACTTGAGGCAGCTGTGCCCCAAGGTCACGGCCCCCAACAGGCACCCACGCATCTCGGCCAGGCCCGCAGTACTCACAGCAAGCTGGAAGAGCAGGCGGCAGTGCCAGTACGGGGTCTGCTGTGAGATCTGGATTGCTTTCCGCAGCAGTGGCTTTGCTGCATCAACGGAATTCTGAAAGGAAACAGTGAAGTTTGGGGAGGAAAAAGCAAGCTGGATTCCTTATGCAGCAGCTGCGGAGCCAGAAGGCCATTCCTGTTCACACTTACCAAAGGATTTGTGGGTTGCCAATGTGCTTGATTAAAGAAGAAAAGATATTTTATTAGACTCACTGGCTGGGAAGTTTTTGTATTGACCTTAAAATAACTCCCCACTCAACTAAACGGAAACTAGCTTTAGTTCAAAATCCTGAACAGTCAAATTGATAACAATTGCTGTCTTTCCTGTTCTGCAACCAGAGAGAGGGGTCAGGGGCATGAAAAGGGGTCACTGCTCAACGGTGGGAAGGGCAATTTTCAGCTACACCTGACATCAGGAACCAGCTTAAGGTAAACTATATAAACTTGTTCAGGAACTAATCACCTTTAGCCTAGGAACAAGGCTGTTTTCCAACAGTCCTCGGTAGAAAAAGATTCTGCTAGCCTTTGTTAGCAAGTGATCACCCATGGCTGCCCCATGCCAGGCGTGGGAGATAAGAAAATTATGAGAAGTCTTAAAAGCCGGAAGGGAATCCACTCCTGAGAGTCCCAGTTTGCCACTGTGCTTTGCTACAGGGAGAGAGAGTTTGCTTTCAGAAACCTTCATATGTTCTTACCTCTTGACAGTATAATTCAGACAAAAGACTTGCTGCTTCAAATTTAACATCTTCAAACTGCGGGATCTAATGATGTCCAGTTAAGGAAGTAGAGACACTGCAAAATGGTCAGTTTAAAAGGGCCACAGGGCTTCCCTGGTGGCGCAGCGGTTGGGAGTCCGCCTGCCGATGCAGGGACACGGGTTCGTGCCCCGGTCCGGGAGGATCCCACATGCCACGGAGCGGCTGCGCCCGTGAGCCATGGCCGCTGAGCCTGCGCGTCCGGAGCCTGGGCTCCGCAACGGGAGAGGCCACAACAGTGAGAGGCCCGCATACCGCAAAAAAAAAAAAAAAGGGCCACAGCTCAGCGTTCTTGCACTGCAGAGACTGGCCGGACGGGCATATCCCCACCCGCTCTAAAACCCCTAGTTCACATATTCCCCCAGTAATCCCTGAGCTTGCTGCTGGCTGGGTGTGGAGCTAGAGGCTGGGGCATGAAGAGGAGCACAGCACCCAGGGAGAAGCTACTGGTCTGAAGGGATGCTCCAGGTAATCTGTGGGGCAAAGCCCAAACCCAAGGTGTGCATTATAGGTAGGATTCAAGTTTATAACACATTTTTTTTATTTAGAAAGAGTTTTCCTTAAAGGGAACAGTACCAAGAAAAGGATACTTGCTGTGATATCAACCACTGAAAGAGAAAGAAAAAAGCATTAATTCTCAACCATACTCTTTGCACCTGCTTAACTGGCTCCACTTTGGGGTTTACACAGGTTGTCTTGTCACCAAAGGCTGCAGGTGTTCGGTTAAGTGGGAAGATGGACTGCTCAGCCTAAGAGGGTGGGCTTGCTTTTCCTCTAGTCCAGCAACCAGGGCGTGTCTGGGGGAAAGGGAACATGAACTTGCTCCCCCACTCACGGGCTTCCCATCCTGCCAGGCTCCGGAGTCAGAATTGGAGCCCTCTCTCACTACAGCAGCAATGCTTCACAAGGGGAAGGAGCACAGAGGGGCCACCACATGACACTCACTGTAGTACGCCAAGAGCAAATCATGACGTGAGGAATTAATTACAATTAGAGAGTCGGTCTGTGGGTGTCAGTCCTTCCTGGAGAAGTGACATTTAAAAGATGTTTGGAAATGAGCAAAGTTAGCCTCAGAGGGGAGGGAAGAGTACTCCAGGAAGGACTGGTGTGGGCAGCACCTGGCCAGGGGTAGCAGGGATGATTCTGAGTTCTGAGCTCACCATCCCTCTCTGCTAGTACACAGGCTGGGACGTGGTTCAGATAACGACATGCTCCCACTTGGCCATAACTGTGTCCTGGAGTTTCACATTCCAACAGGAGGCGGTGAGGTCCCAGGACAGTCCGCCACACCACCACACTGACCACAGTCTGTCAGACTATCAAGGACTCAAGCATATACCTGACGCTGTTCCTGCTGACCCACTCATCCTGCAAACATTCTCAGAGCCTCAGAAGTTGCTGGAAGGCAGATCCAGAGCCCAACAGAAGACTCTTACTTGCCATGCTCTGTGGGAGAACAGTGTGTGTGGTGTGTACGTGTGTGTGGTGTGTGTGTATGGTGTGTGGTGTGTGTGTGTGCACGCGCGCGCATGTGGAGGGAGGTGGTGGGGGTTGGGGTGTCTGGGGCTGGGCCTTGAAGGATGAGGATGTAAGTATGGGTGTTACCAGGCAAAGAAGGAAGGGGAGGTGCTCCAGGCAAAGAAGAGCAGAGGGCCAGGGAGGTGAGGCTGGAAGGCCCATTTGGTCTCTGTGCCACTCATGTGACTGTGGGTAAGAATGCCCTGATGTCACCCCTGGAGCCTGACCCAGTCAGACGCATAAAACAAAAGCACCCAATCAGATCCAAGTTTTAAGAGCATCTTAGATGCAGTAAAGGACGCAGAGGGAGGAGGAGAAAGAGGAAAGAGGCTGAAGGCCCATGGGTCTGCTGGCCGCCAGGGAGAAAGGCCAGTGACGCCAGTGGGACAGCCTTGGAGCTCGAGATGTCTCTGAGGCTGAGTGGTGGCCAGGGAAGTCACCAAAGAGGCTCGGCAAGACTTGGAGCTGGTCTGGAGACCAGCTGCCTCAGAGACACAGGTGGGCCAGGAGAGGGAGCTATGGGAGTAGAGGAGAGGGACAGAACAGAGAGAAAGAGGGAACATGGAGAGCCACCAGGCTCCTGTGTCTGTCACACACACATACAAGTGCACGTGCACATAGAGCCCAGGCAAAAGGCACTCCGCAGCCAGCCCGGGTGTCCCCTCCCAAGGCTCCCCTGCAACAGGGTCAGGAGGAGCTCAGGGTCCCAAGAGGGACACGGCCAGTGCCTGCTGCCAGGAGTGTGGCCCCAAGTGAGGCTCCTTGGCTGAATACCACCTACATGGACAGTGGGGACAGGCCTAGCTCCAGCCTTGTGTGACATCATGAAGCTGGTAAACACAGCTTTCTACAGAAGCCACTCCTCCTCACTGGGAAGGGCAGTCGAGCTAGAGACACTCCTGAAGGCCACCAACTGGGAGGAGGGACAAAGACACCGTGTAGGAAACTCTGTGACTAAAAAGCTTGGTTAGGGACACGGTAAGACCTGGTCCCACCTCAAGATTCTGTAATTCCATAACTTAATCTCCACATGCAAGACATATCTCAGGCAAGGCCTCCATACTCAAGGGGAGCCCTTTAGAGAGAGTACAGGATGGATACAGACACACATGAGAAGCATTTGCCTTCCACTCGGAACGCCGTGTGGCTTGCTCTCAACAACCCAGCCTGGCAGCCAGGGCGGAGTGGGCTCAGTAAAGCCACCACCTACAGCTGAGTTTCCAAGTCAAGCTTGGCCATGCCTCAGGACCTGGCGTAAAGCTGACTACATCTGTGTGTCACTGTTCCCCAACAGAGGTGAAGAAGGCAACAAGAGGTGAAACTCCTCCAGTGGGGCGAAGAAGCCTTCCTTATGAGTCTGTGCCCCAGGGATGCTCTCCCCACTGCACAAGGCATACTCCAAATTCACGTGAGGACAGTCCACAGAAGTATGTCCATGGTGGGCAGACTGTGAGGGGACACAGCCATTTGCCTACTGCCTGGGGAGGGCCCCACTATGCCGACTTCTCCAGCGCCTTGGCCTGTGCTGCTGGGCCCAGGCCCACATGGGCCCATCAAATGTCTCTTCATTTGGGGATTTTATGTGGTTAACATCTATTCAGTAGACATTTGGGCTGGACCCCACTAACATCTCTTTTCTATAAGTCAGATGTGTCTGTTAATGATCAGTTTCTATCTCTGACAGTTCTGTTTTCTGACCTGCGGGCTGGAGAAAGAGCATCACATCCCCCTGGGGCCTTTCGTGACCACGGGGAGAGCTGAAAAGTAATGTGTAAAGTTTGAAGACTCAAACCTTCTGGAAGGCCTTGTCTGTCAGTGTGAGAGGCTGTCAGGAGCGCTGCTCTAGGGGCCAGCGGACAAAGTTTGAGGTGTGGACCCACATGGGAGTTAGCAACACTCCAACTCCTGGAGGAGCTGGATCCTAGTGGTCCTTAGCATCCATTTCCCAGAGCCATGATCTGCCACCATTCTCTCATGCATGCACTGTGAGCCACCAGCCCTCAACACACACACAAACTGGGGATGTTGGATAAAGCCCCAAAATGTGCCTCATCATGATTCTGTGTCCCCAGTGCCTAGAAGGGGCTGACACACGGGAGGCTCTCAGGAAACATTTGTTGCATGAATGATGACTTTATCATCACAAGGAAATGAGGGCTTCCTCATGCACAAATGGCCACAGAACTGAGGCTTATGCCCTTTTTTTTTTGGCTGCATTGGGTCTTCGTTGCTGCGCGAGGGCTTTCTCTAGTTGCAGCAAGTGGGGGCTACTCTTCCTTGTGATGTGTGGGCTTCTCATTGTGGTGGTTTCTCTTGTTGCAGAGCACGGACTCTAGGCGCTCGGGCTTCAGCAGTTGCAGCATGTGGGCTCAGTAGTTGTGGCGCACAGGCTTAGTTGCTCTGTGGCATGTGCGATCTTCCCAGACCAGGGATAGAACCCGTGTCCCCTGCATTGGCAGGAGGATTCTCAACCACTGCGCCACCAGGGAAGCCCAGGCTTATGCCTTTTAAACACAAATTCTAATTCCTAAGTGGCATCAGACATCTCCTTGTCTTTAAACGTCACTGTTTCTTGCTCAGGCATCAGTGTCAGTGACACCTGAGCCGTCCCCAAGATGACCCATTTCTGAAGCTGTAGGACTAGCTCCATGTCATGGAGAGCCAGTCACTTCCCCAGGATTGTCAGTCAGAAGCCAATCAAATCACTTTGCTTTTGTACCTTTTTTAACTTGCAACATAAATTCATAATCAGAAATCTAGATATTAGAAAATACGTCCATCTCACAAATTATCCAAGGTTGCTACCTCAACCTATGTTTTACTTTGTAACACTAAAATATAACTTTTATGTCTTCTTCCTGTCATGCGAAAGCAGCCAAAGTGAGAGTCCCGTCACTGCCAGGAAGCCTGCAGGTGTGAGGCAGAGATGTGAATGACCCTACCAGAAGCCTCTGGGGTCACCTTGGGGTTCTCAGGAAAAGCAAGGGTCACCACAGGGCTAGCATGCACCCTGAGGGGTGGAAGGGCTGGGATCAGCACACTTCTCATTCCTAGGGCATTCAGTTCAGGGCTGAGTGTTTCAAGGCTTCTTGTACCTCATAACCAAGGTAAGTTTTTCTTAAAAATCAGGTTTTTTTAAGTCACCAAAATGTGTAGAAATAGTTATCAACTGCAACTCCTCTGGGATGGAAGCACAACATTTAGGAGCCAGCCTTGCCTCTCTCTGCCATGTGACCACGGCTACAAGCATCCCGGTCAGTACTGCCATCGGCAAGTCGGAAGTGGTCTCTACCTTGTGGGTTTGGTGAGGATCCAAAGAGACAATGCTCCAAGAACCGTGAACGCAGGGCCTGGCATGTGGAAAGCACCAAGAATACTGTAATAATTCCTAGGCAGGAACCGGAAGAAGTAGGGGTTGCAGGGGAGACAGGGGGCAAGTTGGTAGCATCATGAAGTAAAGGTTCCTAAACACATTTCAATTCCTGAAGTCAGGGGAGACTCAGAGAATGAGTGAAGAAAATGGAAATGCGAACAGGAGGAAGCACAGATATTCTTCCATGAAAATGCTTGACAGCAAGTTCTGCAAATGCAGCTTCTGTACCACGTTCTGCTCCCAGCTGATGTGGCATGGAATTTACCAGGACACAGCCATGATCCTAAAGGATGAAAGATATGCTCCATCTGTGCCTGATGATGAAAGGCCCAGAATTGAGCCCTTTTAGGCCTTAAAATAAGAAAGGGAAGCTTTTAATCACTTGCTGGGAAGGTAGCCATAGACTCTCGGGCTAAACCTGGAAGCACAATTAAGGAGTATCTGACTGGCAGTTTGGAGCTGCTTTCTAAGTCAGACGAACAACCACTAAAAAGTAGCCCCATTGCAAACACACAGAGAAAGCAAACATGGCATCAACACAGGTGCTGCAGTCACTAAAGACCACTGTCCAAAGAATGACTGCCTGGATTATAGCAAATAACGAACAATCCATTCCAGAGAAGTAGCATTTATTCCTCTGTGGCTTTCAAATCAGCAAAATCTAAGGATGATGATGCACTTTCCAGATAAATTAAGAAAGTTAAGGGGGAAATAAAT